ACTCAGGAGCAGCGTGAGGAGTATGCTGCTAAGCTCAAGGCCGCCGGAAACAAGGCCTACGGTGACAAGGCCTACAATAAGGCTATCGACCTCTATACCAAGGCCATCATCTGCAAGCCCGACCCCGTCTTCTATTCCAACCGAGCCGCCTGCCACAGTGCTCTGAGCGAGTGGGACAAGGTGATCGAGGACACGACTGCTGCCATCAACATGGACCCCGAGTACGTGAAGGCTATCAACCGTCGCGCCACCGCCTATGAGCACCAGAAGAAGTATTCCGAAGCCCTACTCGATTTCACTGCATCCTGCATCATCGACAACTTTAAGAGCGAATCGACTGCCCAGGCTGTTGAGAGACTGCTCAAGGCCTTCGCTGAACAGAAGGCCAAGGAGATGATGGCATCTCGCCCTGTGAAGATGCCCAGCCCCATTTTCGTCGGCAACTACCTCCAGAGCTTCCGCGAGAAGCCCCGCCCAGATGGACTTGAGGACAACGTTGAGCTCTCTGCTGAGACAGGAAAGGGACAGTTGCAGCTCGGTCTGCAAGGCTTGGAGAAGAAGACTGGTGACGGATACGAGGAGGCCCGAGTTGCCTTCGAGAAGGCTCTTGAGCTTGGCGACCTCGGTGAGCACGAGGCCCTGGCCTACAACATGCGTGGTACTGTCCGTACTCTGCTCGGCAACCACGCCGAGGCCACCGAGGACTTCGACAAGAGCATTGAACTTGACGCTGGCATGATCCAGAGCTACATCAAGCGTGCTAGCATCAGCCTGGAGCTGGGCGACCCTATCAAGGCTGAGGAGGAGTTCGCCAAGGCTCTTGAGCAGGACAGGGAAGATCCCGACATCTACTACCACCGTGCCCAGGCTCACTTCATCAAAGGTGATCTTTCTGACGCCCAGAAGGATTACCAGAAGTCAATTGACCTCGACAAGGATTTCATTTTCTCCCACATCCAACTTGGTGTGACTCAGTACAAGATGGGCTCAATCGCCTCGTCTATGGCTACCTTCCGCAGATGCATCAAGAACTTCCCCAAGATCCCAGATGTATACAACTACTACGGTGAGCTGCTCTTGGATCAGGGCAACTTCTCCGAGGCCGTCGAGAAATTCGACGTTGCCATGGAGATGGAGAAGCAGACCAAGCCTATGTCGATGAACGTCCTGCCGCTCATCAACAAGGCCTTGGCTCTCTTCCAGTGGAAGCAGGACTTCAAGGAGGCTGAGAACCTATGCCAGAAGGCACTCATCAGTAAGGTTAACTGCCACTGTGTATCAACAGCGTGATTGCTAACGTGCCATCCAGTCGACCCCGAGTGTGATATTGCTGTTGCCACCATGGCACAGCTCCTATTGCAACAGAACAACGTCCCCGGCGCCCTCAAATATTTCGAGAGGGCTGCCGAGCTTGCCCGCACCGAGGGCGAGATTGTCAACGCCCTCTCCTACGCCGAGGCCACAAGGACCCAGGTCCAAGTAACAGAGAAGTACCCCAAGCTGGCGGCCAAGCTGAGCGCAGGTGGCCCGCCTGGATTGCGGATGCCTGCCGCATAAGGTAACAACCTCCAATTACCTAGTTTATATTTAAGTGGTGCGTGTGCGAGTAGTGAGTATATGTATGATGAGGGTCTGGTAACGGAAGCGAGTTATATAACGACGATGGCAGGTACAACCTTGGGACAGGGTTGCGTCTTGTCGCAGTCTAGTTTATGTCCCGGTTTGGCAGGGTGGGTGAAAAAAAAGTGTTCATCATGATCTGGAGTCGGGAGCTTCTCGATATTGCAAATGGACCCTATTGTATGTAACGTGTATATAATAATGTGAACTCTCTCTCTTAATACCCATTTCCATCTTCCATTCCAATAAAATCCCCTTTAGCGTACAGTTCACTCAAGCAGCTGTGTAGATGTCATATCAATTATCAACCTGTTCATTGAACTGTCACTTCAAAACTCGGCTATCCAGTGATCTACTCAAATTCATTGATAGTCGACTACCTATCAAGACACCACCCATGCATTGTTCCAACCTCGTGGTGCAAGTACAACGAAACGCGTGTTCCACATCGAAGCTGCTCTCGTCTGAGAACCGGATGCAGCCCACGCGCAACCCGGAGCATTACATGAATGAATTGCCTCCCAGTCCCCTCTCAAAGACGGAGGACAGCAATAAAATAAAAAGAAAACTCCATGCGAAGTGATTTTCCCCTTTGTCACACCATCCCCCAAAAGAACTCAATCCAATAATTTCGAACTAAAATATGCCCCTCCCCGACGATACATAAGAGGATTAGAGATGTCGGCGGAGGAGGTACCTGCGAATTGTTGGTGGTATCCCGTAACGATCGTAAGAACATGAGAAAAAAAATAACTAGGAAGACAAGAAACAACAGTGTCTATCTGCGACATTAGAAACAAGGGTATGTATGGCGAGCAGCCCACTGATCGTGCAGGCGCTTTGGCAATATTTTCGATGGACCCATCCATCATCGATCTCGGAGTTCAACTTTTCGGCCGTAGACAACTTGTTGCGGCTATTACTTGCCCTGGCGAGCGCCGGGTCCAGCAGTGAAGTACCAAGCCACGACGACCACGACGATGATGATGATGATGAGTACAGTGATACCCAGGCACCACCACTTCAGCTTGCGGGTGTTGCGAGCGTGCTTGATGCCTACTTCCACCTGTTCGTTTCCTTTCTCCATGTTCACGACGGTATCCTGGGCGTTGTTCTCGGCAACAGCAACCACCTCATCCTGTTGCTCAACCATGCTGGCGAGGTCCGCGTACAGAGCAGAGAGATCCACCAAGGTCTGCTCGATGCGCTGCAACTCATTGTGGCGGGCGCGAACGTTGCCAAGAATAGAGCTAGCATGTCCAGTTCGGTTTGTGCGAAGCTAAATTAAAATACCATGTTAGAAAACTTAGACAGAAATAGACTTTGCTGTGATAGCATCTGGTTAGAAGACGCGGGAGGCCATGTTACGTACCGCTGTCTGGAAGACACCCTCATTGCCCCAATCGGCCTCAGTAGCCTGCTGGACCTCCTCATCGGTAGCATCCGGGTTTACGATGCGGTACTGGCGAGCGATTTGTTCGCGGAACTTATTTTGATAGTCGCGCTCAATGCTTTGATACTTGTCAAGCTCCGACTTGAAAAATGTCTTGAGCGACTGGAGCTGGGTGTTCTTGGTGTTGCGAGAGGTGTCGGTCGTCTTGGAGAGGTCTCGCTCCAGACCCTTGATGCCGTCCTTGATCGCCGTGTTGCGAATCTGCGTCTGGGTAACGACCTGCTCAAGCTGGTCCCTGACCTGCCCATCGGTTCCGCTGAGAGTGCGCTGGTGGAGTTGCGCAATCAGATCGATGTCTCCGGTGAGGCCCTTAATGTCGGTGCGAAGCTTCTGGACTCGGTTCAGGAATTCCTGCTGGGATAAGGTTGTGGGCTCGGCATAACCATTGTTGCCAAGGTCCTGCATCTCATACTGTCCGTACTGCTGCTGGTCCTGGGCGTAGGGATTTTGTTGCTGTGCCGGGGACGGAGTTAGCCACAGTTTGCTTTTGACGTAAGACAGTGAGCAACCACACCCAGTAGCTCCCGACTGTCCCGAGTCACCGTTGTTTTGGGAATTCACTGTCGACCTACCTGGTTGTTGCCGTACCCGTACTCTTGCGATGGCCCCGATTGGTAGGGGTTCTGCTGGTATGGATTGCCGGACATGATGAACAGCTATGTTTGGGTGCGACGGGAAATTGGTAGCTCGGGTGGTGATGGGTCCCTTTGGCGACTTTCGCGGCGTTGCAAGAAGGCTTGCGATTTGAGAGGCGACACGAGAGAGGCAATTAGTTGTCGGCGGTGAGAAGCGCGAAGGAGAGACTGGGCAGGCAAAGGGCGGTTGGACGATGCAATCGTGCGCTGAGAGCCTCGTACACAAAGAAGGAGCACGACAAAGATTCTGGGGGAAGTGGGTGGGAGCTCCAAATTATTATGAAGGAAATGGGCGACAGGCGACCTGAGCAGGGAAAGAGGGAGCAAACAGCGAACTCTGGGTGGATGATCGGCTGACTGTGGGGCAGGGTGGAATTGCTGGTTGTCATACAGGCAGGTAAGTACCTACGGGATGCTCTAAATGTTATTAGTGCTGCGACGTCACTAGGTTACAGTGGCAGAGCAACCTAGCCAGCCGTTAGTGCTCATCGCCGTCTTCTAAGCGCTGGCGACCCGTCCACAGCATCGTACTCGCTTCCACGTCGCATGGCTGGCGATGCCAATTTCTCCATCGTAGGGAAAAGTCTCTTGCCACGGGCATAGCAAATGGCCAGCACCGTGCTGGCCTGTGCATTCAGTTTTGCCTTCGCACTGCGTGGTACTTACGCGCGCTCCTGCTCAAACACCGGCTTTTTTGCCTTAGGGGACCATGTCAGGGTTGTTTCGGAACAACATGAGGTGGGAAATTAGACAGGCCTACCTGCAGAGGCCTACAGGGGTTATCAAAGTCCCCAACCATGGCTCCAACCATTGATTCCATATTTGCGAAATGTCGCATTGGACAGACACATAATTATAAAGATCCCAGTCGCCCGATCATTTCTGTCTCTTTTACAGAATCGCAGGAGGTTCACTCGTCATTCTTTGTGAGCTTCCAGGGCTGCATTGCCTCCCTCCATCAGCACAGCTCAGGGGATATTGCATATGGAGCTGCGGCCTTCTCGGATCCACACCACATGTTAGTTTTGCGAGCCAGCAATCCCAGCAGCTCAATGGCCAGTTTGCCTCCCCAAGTCACGCATGGTGAGAGCTTCCGCTGGTCTTGCGGCTCGCATCACAGGACCTACGCGAGGACCTCGTGGGCAAAAGAAAACGTCGACCAAAGAACTGCGCTCGACCTCCTGCATCTCAGCTATGAATGAGCCTAGCACCCTTTGCTTAACCATAAAAACCACTAGAACGGGTAGCTAACAAACTATTATGTTTTTTATCGTGATACATTGCTTACTATGCTAATCCCTCTTGGAGTCCCTGCCAGGATCCAATGCCAGCAGCCTTGCTGGGCACCACGTTTTTTGTCGGCCGAACCGCGCATCTTGTGGCTTGGCCGCATCTACGACGTAATGGCGAGTGTCGGCGCTGCGTGTCCGCGCAATGGGGCTCGTAGATTTCATGGTAGCGCACTGCCCAGCCAGCCACGGCGCATTAATAGCAACCCTCCCACAACCCGAACTCTCGGATTTACCTTTTCCACTCAGATCGGTACTTGGGTACTGTATCCATACTGTACCAGAACCTACCTTAGGTATAGTGCCGTAGTTCGTCAGATCCAGATCGCCTACACCAATAGCCATCACTCATAGCCTCCAAAATCTTATTACGACTGCTATTTTCTAGCGAAGGTATCCGGACTTTGATATCACCGTCCCTTGCCATGGTCATACTAACGGCCTCGATTTATGTGATACACGACGAAATTGCATGCGAGTAACCCCATAAATCGCCACAAGCCATCATCCCTGTTGACGCAGCAACCGAGTCCAATGGTACTGTTGTACCAGTCTTCGCAATATTCTAACCCCTTGCGGTGGTGCCCAACGGAAAGGGCTTGTTGGGATACTGCTTATTGTTATGGAAAACTCCTTTCCTATTCTGCTATCATCACGACAGCCAGATAATGTATTGGAAAGGCTGATTCAAGGCAAACTCTTGTGCAAAGAACTGCATGGTCTCGTATGGCCATCTGGAGAGCAAGCCTTGACACCCTGTAAGTGTCATGCTTCTTATGCCCGAAGATGCGGATGTTAATCTTCATGCATGCTCCTCTACGTTTCAAAAATGTGACCAATTATGCCAACGCCCCTTGATCATACGTCCAGCCGGGCACGGAACGAATAAAAACTTCCGGCCGGATCGGGCGAGCGTCTCGGCCGAGAACTGTGACGCATTTAGTTAACATCAGATGGTGTTGCGCAGCATACGTGCTTTATCGAGGGTAGAGCCCAGGGATATGTGTTTTCAGTGTGTGGATAAAAGGCATCCAATGCATGGAAATACATCACTGAGACGTTGTCAACTTTTCATCCTTGATTCTTGTGGTAGGAATGTTCCCCCAATACAAAACTCAAGTTTTGAGCCACTGTCTGAGCCACGGTTGGTGCCCTTCAGGGCGTTATCGATACGACCCAGGCCTTATCACGTGGCTGCGAAAATATCCCACCAAACTCCCCACGCCGCTTGCTACCAGTGAATGCCGTTTGGTGGCTCGCTTTATTTGTCAAGAAATAATTTGGATGCCGCCGGTGAGCAAAAGCTTTGACAAGCACTGGCCCTGACTCGATCGCCGCCTCTTATTTCGCCTGCCGACATTTCGGCCTGCCAGAAATTCGAACCCTCTTACAAGCTAGGTTTATAGCTGTCTCGCAAGTACTGGCGCGCATACTCTCAGCGATGATGTGAACCTGATCTACGGTACACATACACACCACTTGAAACCCGGATCACCAAACCACGCGGCACTTGGTCGCGCGAAACTTTGGGCTACTGCAAGCCCCGAATCTTCGGGAGGTATGGAATATCTAAAGCAATCGCACTTTACTGGCATCTACACCGAGTGCCCACCGACCGTCCATTTCGGTTCCAGTCCAAAGTGCTAACCCCACGACTTTTAGAAAAAACCGACTCCGGATCACCCACCCTCGCCTATCCGACCCAACATGGCGGACCCTTTTGCCCATGTAGGCAATCATCTAGTTTCGAACTCGGCCAAAGCCATCAATGCCGGCGCAGACGACTTGGATCGCCTGGAACCAGACTCTGCCCTGCTTAGCCTCAAGACTGGAGGCAGCCGAATCCGAGCCGACGATGACGACAACCAGAGAGAAGCCAAAGATGACGATGACAATGATAGTACCGAAAGCGCCACAGACGGCATGTCTGGAATGAAGCTGAAGGGCCCACGAGAGGAGAAGCAACTGCCCGCTCATGCATGCGCGTAAGCAAGGCTGACGTTTTTGATGGTTTTATCGGATTTGCCTAACACATACTGGATAGATACTGTGGAATTCATTCGCCAAGCTGTGTTGTCAAGTGTCTGACTTGCAACAAGTGGTTCTGTAGCGCTCGTGGCAACGGAACTTCGACCCATATCGTCAACCATCTTGTTCGAGCCCGCCACAAAGAGGTTCAGCTTCACCCTGAATCCGCCCTCGGAGACACGGTGCTAGAATGCTACAACTGCGGAACGAAGAACGCATTTTTGTTGGGATTCATCCCGGCAAAGTCAGATACTGTGGTGGTACTTCTCTGTCGGCAACCATGCGCCTCTGCCTCGTCGAACAAGGATATGAACTGGGATACGTCGCGATGGGAACCTCTGATTGCGGAGCGAGCCTTCCTTCCATGGCTTGTGTCTACTCCATCCGATGCTGAACAGCTCCGAGCCCGTCATCTGTCACCTAATATGATTGCCAAGCTGGAGGAGATGTGGAAAGTTGAACCAAACGCCACGGTTGTGGACCTCGAAAAGTCCTCGAACATTGACGACGATCCATCCCCAGTCGTTCTTGAATACGAAGATCCCTTTCATTACCAGAACATCTTCGGGCCACTGGTCAAAATGGAGTCCGACTACGACAAGAAACTGAAGGAAGCCCAGTCTGAGGATGGCTTAATTATTCGATGGGATTTGGGTCTCAACCAGAAGCACATTGCCAGCTTCAACCTTCATAAGATTGAATCCGGCGATGTTAAGCTCGCGGTTGGTGATGAGATGCGACTACGATACAATGGCGAACTCGGACCAGCTTGGGAGGGTGTAGGATATGTCATCAAGATTCCCAACAATCAGTCAGACGAAGTGTCCCTGGAGCTGCGAAAATCTGGCAATGAAAAGTCAGTCCCAACTGAGCTTTCGCACAACTTCTCGGCCGATTACGTTTGGAAGGCAACATCGTACGACAGAATGCAACTTGCAATGAAAACCTTCGCCGTCGACGACATGAGTGTCTCGGGATACATTTTCCATTACCTCCTTGGTCATGAGGTCTCCCACCAGCCGATGAAAATCAACATGCCTAAGAAGTGGTCGGCTCCCGGACTGCCTGATTTGAATAACAGCCAAGTTGAGGCCATCAAGGCGTCTCTGCAGAGACCTCTCAGTCTCATCCAGGGGCCTCCCGGAACTGGAAAGACTGTCACATCAGCCACCATCATTTACCATCTGGCTAAGACGACTGGAAACCAAGTTCTTGTCTGTGCCCCATCTAACGTGGCTGTCGATCAACTCTGTGAGCGAATTCATCGAACTGGTCTCAAGGTTGTGCGCCTCACGGCCAAGTCACGCGAGGATGTAGAGTCTTCCGTCACGTTCCTCTCATTGCATGAACAAGTTCGTATGGCAGGCACAAACAACGAGTTGGTCAAGCTTTCACAGCTCAAGAATGAGCTCGGCGAGCTGTCCCTGCAGGATGAAAAGAAGTTCAAGCAGCTTACTAAGGTTGCTGAGCGCGAGATTCTGCAAAATGCCGATGTCGTTTGCTGCACATGTGTCGGTGCAGGCGATCCTCGTCTCTCCAAGATGAAGTTCAGAAATGTGCTCATCGACGAGTCGACTCAGTCCGCCGAACCTGAGTGCATGATTCCTCTGGTTCTTGGTTGCAAACAGGTCGTACTTGTTGGAGATCACCAGCAGCTTGGCCCTGTCATCATGAATAAGAAAGCAGCCAAGGCTGGTCTTAACCAGTCCCTATTTGAGCGACTCATCCGTCTCAAAACCCAGCCAACCATGTTGAAGATGCAATACCGAATGCACCCATGCTTGTCCGAGTTCCCATCCAACATGTTCTACAATGGAAATCTCCAGAACGGTGTAAACGCCGAGGGCCGTATCCGAAAGGATGTAGACTTCCCATGGCCTCTCCCCGAGATGCCGATGATGTTCTGGTCGAACCTGGGACACGAAGAAATCTCCGCCTCTGGAACATCCTACCTCAACCGTACCGAAGCTTCCAACGTGGAGAAGGCCATCACTCGCTTTTTCAAGGCTGGCGTAAAGGCGGCAGACATTGGTGTCATCACACCATACGAAGGACAGCGAAGCTTCATTGTGACAACAATGCAAAACTCGGGCACATACAACAAGGAAAAGTACAAGGAGGTCGAAGTTGCCTCCGTTGATGCGTTCCAGGGCAGAGAAAAGGACTTCATTGTGCTTTCTTGCGTTCGATCGAACGATAATCAAGGCATCGGTTTCTTGTCAGACCCACGCCGTCTCAACGTCGCACTCACGCGAGCCAAGTACGGCTTGGTTATTCTTGGAAACCCCAAGGTCCTGTCTAAGCACGAGCTTTGGCACAGCCTCCTGGTTCATTTCAAGGACAGAAAATGCTTCGTTGAAGGGCCCTTGACCAATCTTCAAGCCTGCCTGCTGCAGTTTGGTCGACCCAACGTGAAATACCGACAGAAGAACAACCACGGACAACAATATGGAGCCAATTCTGCGATGAACGGCCGTTTCTACCCTCCATCTACTCGCGACGTTGATTCTGGATCTATGCTCTCCTACATCCCAGACGACGTGTCTTCGGTTCATAGCTCTGCCTTCACTGGCGGTGCCGCCCTTGGAGGTTCTTTCCCTAGCATGTTCTCCAACTTCAACCCAGAACAGTGGCCTGGCCTCCCAGGTGTGGGAACAGCTGGCCGTGGCGGCAAAGCACGTGGCCGGGCAACCGAGAGCATCGCCGGTGAGAGCGTTGCCAATTCTGAGTACACAGACACAACCAACAGTGTCATTGGTGGTAAAGGTGTTGGCCAAGGAGGCGTTAGCCTCGGCGCCGGCCTTCCCGATGTGGTCAACGGCATGCCAGCTCTTTCGTACAACCAGAGCGACCGTCTCAAACAGTACGTTGAGAGCAACGGCCGCATAGGGCCATCCGGCGGCTACGGGCGGCACTACGATGACGACGAGAAGAGCGTTAGCACCGCTTTCCACAGCCAAATCGGAGGGGGCTACGACTGAGTTTAGTCTCGTGCGTCATTCAAAAAAGAACGATGATGATGGATAGATTTAGTTTGCAAATCCTCCGTCCTTGGCTTCTGCCAACAACGTTCAATGCCGTTTCTGCCCTACTTGATGGCTCTGGCCATTGCAGCAGTCAGACGATGTCGAGTCTACGTCGATAGAGACGCTCCAGCGATCTGATCCGATGCTTATTACGGACACACCAAGTGCACGAGACAGCATCCACCACAAAGTCCTACAGTCTAGAACTGCGATATCTGTGCACGACAAAAATATCTGGAGAAGCTGTGGGTCTAAGCACGTTCCATCTTCACAGCGGTTCCTCGGGAATCATGTTTCGGCGTGTGCAACATGTTGGCGACGAGCTAGGAAGTGGTCCAGGCATGTGTATCCCTGGGAGACATGCAGGCAACGGCACGAGCGCAGCCGGGATGTATTGTCCGCGAAATAGTATAGCTCACCAAAGTCTACCTCATCGTCGTGGTTCAGGCCATTGCGTTGTACATCCGTGAGTCGGGGGTATCAAAGACCCCTCAAAGCGATTGTGCGAACGTGCGGCATGGGGAGATTGAATTTGTTTTTACATCTGACCTTAGACATTCTTTGATTCTAGTACCCTTAGACTTACTCAACGTAAATCTAATCAAGACCTGTCCTTACCGCTACACCTTGTTCGGATACCAATTCGTAATGTTTCAAGTGCTCGTACTCAGTGCTCGTACTCAGTGCTCGGGCGTGTTTTACACCAGGTAGGGAGGTGCAGGCCACACCTTATCACAGCTAAAGAGTGCTCCAGAAGCGTGCGTCTGAAGTCACGGTATTTCTATGTCGTGTACGCCTCTCCTGCATGCGATAAGGGCGAATTGCATACAGTCTCGTTAATGACAGTTTTCGTCATGATGGCAGCACATAATAGGTATTGAAGATAAGGGCAGAGCTTGTGAAGCACTTCTAACCACTGTCTCAAGTCAGATCACTTTTCAACCTCGCGATAGGGCCCAAGCGGCCCGCCGTTGCGATAAGCGTATAGCTGCGCCGAGGCGGCCTGATAGCAGGGGCGCTCCTTGTAACTGGCCGGCTGCAGGGGCGATAGTGCCAACTACCGACAGGGCAGCTCCCCACAGCACGACACAGACCCCAAGTTCCCCCATCCATCTCCTTTCCACCTGTATCCGTGCCCTTTGCTGGCTTTATTCATCGCTGCATTGCTAAACCATCGAGAGGAAACCATTGTGCGACGACTAGCGAACCGGTTGCTCGATTTCATTCAACAATTCCGTCCCGAGCTCTCTCATCAACAGAGCACAGTCCTCCTCTACAGGCTAGTGCATCCATCGAATCCATCTTGCCGATCGCTCTTCAAGGGTCCAGCACGCAGCAGCATCAGACTGCAGTCATCCGCAGGGCAGGCTACCAAGGCGTCGCGCGGCCGAGAAATGCGGTAGCGATGTCGTCCCAATTTGCCGGACGGCCCTTGCGCCGCTTCGTCGTCGTCGTCATATTCTTCGCCATCGTCACGCTGCTATGGCGAAATCCCGACTTCACCCCGTCGTTCCCAGGCCGAGCAACGGAGATGATCAACGGCTACAAGTATGCGCCGAGCCGATTCGACTGGAGCCGGATCAAGCCGCGCTACGCCGTCGGGGACATCAAGCCGCCCCCCACGGGACGGCCGAAGAGGCTCCCCAAGGTGCAGGCCAAGTTTGGCTCCGATGCGCAGAACGACAAGACGCTGGCACGGAAGACTGCCATCAAGAACAAGTTCCTCAAGAGCTGGGAGGCGTACAAGACGTATGCGTGGACAAAGGACGAGCTAATGCCTTTATCCGGGAGAGGAAAGAATACATTTTGCGGCTGGTCTGCGCAGCTTGTTGATGCATTGGATACGCTGTGGATCATGGGCCTCAAGGACGAATTTCGGCTTGCTGTCGCCGAGGTCGCTCTAATTGATTGGCAGAGTACTTCCCAGAGGAAGATCAATTTATTCGAGACGACGATCCGGTACCTCGGTGGCTTGCTGTCTGCCTATGAGCTATCGGAGGAGCCTGTTTTGCTACTCAAGGCCATTGAGCTAGGCGATGCCCTTTTTGCAGCATTTGACACGCCCAATCGACTCCCAGTGAAATGGCTCGAGTTTGAGAGGGCGAAGAATGGCAGGCAGGAAGCTGAAACATCCATGTCCATTGCTGTCGGAGGCACTCTGTTTCTCGAATTTACCAGGCTCAGCCAGCTTTCAAAAGACCCCAAATACTACGATGCGGCTGAGCGCGTAAAGAAATTCTTCAACGAGTACCAGCCCAAGTCGCATATCCCCGGTCTCTGGCCGCGCGATTTGAACTATCGCGAAAAGACAGGGACCGAAAATCACAGGTACACCATGGGCGCTGGGGCTGACTCCTTCTACGAATACCTCCCCAAAATGCACGCCCTTCTCGGAGGGTTGGATCCCGAGTATGAAAAGATGACGGTGGCTGCACTTGATGCAACTAGGGATAACCTCCTATACCGGCCCATGACACCCAAAGATCACAACATCCTGCTGTCTGGCGTTGTCCTCTTTAATGATGACGGGAACGCCAGGTACTACGCAGAGATGCATCACCTCACATGCTTCGCTGGTGGAATGTATGCACTTGCTGCCAAGCTCCTGAACCGCGACGACTACTTGGATGTTGGAAGCAGGCTGACGGGCGGGTGTGTCTGGGCCTATGACTCTTTCCCTACGAATATCATGCCCGAGATTTCCGAGCACATCCCGTGCAAGGACAAAAACGGTCCTTGCGAATACAATCCAGAGTCGTTCCCTTCCAACTCCGAGAATCCCCTCCCTGACGGCTTCGTGCGGGCTCGAGAACCCGGGTACAAGCTGAGGCCAGAGGCCATTGAGAGTGTGTTTTACATGTGGCGCATCACCGGAGACCAGAAATGGCGGGATGCTGCATGGAGGATGTGGGAGGGCATTGTGAAGGCGACGGAAACACAGCTAGCGTTTGCGTCGATTGAGAATGTTGCAGAGCATGCAAGCGAGAAAGTCGACTCCATGGAGGTAAGTCCGCATGTGCTCCAGATGTTTGATCATAGGATGAGAAGTAGAAGCTAACTGGATTATTTCACAGACTTTCTGGCTGGCTGAGACGCTCAAATACTTTTACCTCATCTTTGAGGATGACCATGTGCTCAGCCTGGATGAGTGGGTGTTCAACTCGGAGGCGCATCCGTTTAAGCGCCCTGTATGATTTGATAACAGGTAGGAGCTGTCAGGGAATGAATTTGCCTATTTTTGAAATGCTACGAGGCTGGGTTTCAGTCATGAGTCCACGGCCTTTCTGGGTACTTGAACTGCGTGTTGCTCAAGGGCAATCGCATGGTTGGCGTTTAGCTTGGAAAATGCGTGTGTCGGGATGATGTTAGGTTTCTTAGAGTGACAACAAATGGTGCATCAAGGAAATTGTTTGATATGGGAGCCCAACATCCAGGAACTACCTGGGCAAAGATGAAAATAATGCATCCCAGTGATGTTACAACGAGAAGGACATCATCGATCGAGTAAAGCAAAGCGACATCGGCCCGGTATCCACATAACCCCGTAGCTTGCATATCATATCAATCAGCATTATCTCTCCCACCTCACACGACCTAGACTCAATTACATCACTTTCGCTCTCCTGCAAGTCACCACAAGCAATTCGCCTTGGAACTGCATTAGACGGTGCGATCCCTCGGCCAGGGACATGTTCGTGATGAGGGATGCCATTCCGTTTCGGTTATAACCTCTCGCGCGCTGCGTGTCCCCCCCAATTGATCGCGGGCAGCAAAGCCCTTCAGTCGACTTCCCTTCGTGCATTCACCACCTCGTGTCGACTCCACGATGCCGCGGCCAAGAACCACTACGAGCGTCTGAACATCCGCCACGATGCCACGCCGGCCGAGATCAAGAAGTAAGCATACCCGTTCCCCTCATCCCTTCCCATCCCCGCCCCCATCTCACTGCTCTCCCACTAACATCAACCCCCCCAAAAGGTCCTTCTACCAACTCTCCAAAGTCCACCACCCAGACGCCAACCCCTCCGACCCCTCAGCCTCCCACACCTTCTCCCTCCTCTCCGAGTCCTACACCGTCCTCTCCGACCCGCCCCGCCGCGCCTCCTACGACCGCGACGTCCTCCGCCTCCAGCACCACCACCAGCAGCACCGCCACCCCGCCGGCGCCTCCTACCACAGCACCAACAACCCCGCCGGCGGCCGTCCACCCTCCGGCCTCAGCCGCCGCAGGGGCACCTTCCACGGTCCCCCGCCCAGCTTCTACCGCAGCGGCGGATGGGGCGCGCACAGCGAGAAGCGCCGCCGCGCGCACGAGGAGTCGACGGGCGGCGCCGAGTCGTCAGCAGCAGCAGGAGGGGGCACCAGTCGGGATGAGACGGCGACGCACGGCGGCAGGCACGGCGGGATGGGACCGGGCTCCGACCCCTTCGGGCACCGGCACCACGACGAGGTCTGGCACTTCGACAAGCAGGGCCACGAGCGGACGCAGAGGCACGAGGACCGCCGGCGGTGGGAGAGGGGCCGCCGCGCCGTGGACGACGACGGGGTCGAGTTCGAGCCCCAGATGAGCCTGGGCGCCCACTTCCTCGTCGTGCTGGGCATCCTGGCCACCAGCTTCGTCGTGCCCGTCGTGTATCTGCAGTTCCAGCGCCTGGGGCGTAAGAAGCAGGATGGATACTGAATACCCTACCTATATTTTCGGTTTGCAATATAGAGTCGAGGGGGGGATATCGGTCTGGAGTTCCTGATATCTGTATATAGAAAACATACCCCCCCACGTCCATCACGCTACTACTGGTCACGCCATATAATACACCTAGATAGGTAGGAGACAGGGTAGAATCTACGATCGCTGCAAGACACCACGCATCGTTGAGCCGCGAGAAAATACGTCATTTCTTTTTTTAGCATTGAAGTCCTATCTCTACATCGTCCGCAGCGAAGACCAGCTGTAATGCAAGGTTCAAATACATTAGAAGGCGACGCCAACTGGGCATCAGCCTTTTTTTTCATCCGGTATGTCCATCTAGATGGGATAGTTGATAATATTACACAGCTTAACCCTCGAAGGTGAAGCTGGCGCCGACCTTGTGGGAGGCCTGGTCGAGCTTCTGGGTGTCGAAGGAGCCACCGAGACCCAGGGTAACACCCTCACGGAGGAGAACGTTGTAGGAGACAGCAGCGATACCGCGGTCGTTGACCTTGGCCTTTAGGGAGAGAAGAGTCAGCAAATTGCAACGTCCAAAAAAGACACGAAACTACAAACCTTGGTGAAGGAGACGGGGTCGATGCGGTACTTGCTGGCAACCTCGAGGCCGACAGTGTTGCCGGTCTTGGAGTTCCAGGTAGCCTTGGCACCAGCCTCAACCTGGCTGTTGACCTTGTGGTAGTAGGAGGCAGCGAAGACGCTGAGGTTGTCAGAGGCAGTGATGGTGGCACTGTACTGGGGGGCGGTGTAGCCAACGGCGGCGCTGTAGGCAGTCAGGGCAGCCTTGTTGACGTCGTAGCCGGCGCTGGCACCGGCGACGAAGCCCTCGTGGCCGATGACGGCGTCGACGTTGGCGGTGGGGCCCTTCAGGAGGTCGAAGAAGGCACGGCCGTGGAAGCCGGGCTGCTTGAAGTGGAGGTTGAACTTGGCACCCTTGGCGTTAGTGGCAGGGAGGAAGTTGAAGAGACCCTCGAGCTTGAGACCCTTGGCGAGGGTGTCGTTGACCTCGAGCTTGGTGTCGAGAGCGTTGGCGGTGTTCCAGGTCTGGGTGAGGGTCAGGCCTGCGCGCGAATATAGCATTAGCAGCTGAGCATAGCCATTGTTTCCTGGCTGAAACATGGCCGCAAATTCTAGCGGCCAGCCAGTTCTGGGGCCAAGAATGCGTCCCAGTCTAAAGGAAGGGGAAGAAGATGAGTGTGGTGATTTGCGAGGTTTTCGCTTGGGTGGTGGTGGTTTGGAGCTGGGGTCATGATTTGGGGGTGATGCCGTACCAGTAGGCTTGTCGGTGTATTTTCCCTCAATCTGCGCATCGAATTGATCAGTATTGCCATCCAGACTGTGTGGTGAAGAGGGTGGGGGAGAAAACTCACAGCACCGGCGGTGACCTTGTCGTGGCTGGACTTGCCAGTGACCTTGAAGGCAACGCCATTGGGGGCGGTGTCCTTGAACTCGAAGGTGGTGGCGGACAGGTGGTAGAAATCCTTGTTGAGGAGCTAAATAGACAACGGGAGTTGCAACGGTCAGTCCAAAAGCTGGCCCAATGGGTATTTTCAGCGGCATTGACGAAATCCGGTGGGAGGGACAGCTCGCCCAACGGCTCGTCTGAGCGAATTGAAAATGCGGGCAGGGAGGGAAGCATACATCGTTGGCCGACTTGGCGATATCAGCGAAAGCAGGGACAGACATGGTGGCGGCTGTTGTGATGGAGATAGCTAGAGAAAAAGACGAGAGGTTTGTGAAAGACACGGATGTGAGGATAGAGAGCAATTCGGGGGGGGAAGGCGGGATCCAGTAATGTTATTAGGTGCGAGCTGGTGAGCTCTGCCGGGGCAGCAGCACGGCTCAGCGCCTCGTCGGGTAAAGGAAAATGTTTTTGGCGGCGCCAGCCAATGAGCTCTCGCCCAAACGCTGAGCGGTCCCTGGACGAAATCGCCCTAGGCAACCTGCGCCAGCCCAATCCTCCAGTCGAGTCGGCTGATGTCGGGAAATTGGCCCTGAACCATACAACCCGCTGGCCGTTGCTAGGTCCACGTGGTGAACGCTGGCGTTGCTTTTGGGCTCTCTTAGCGGAGTTCAGGCCGTCTCTGCCTCTTCAGTGCCAGAGCAGGTCATTCCCCAACGAGGAACGTCCCCATATTGGGCGGCATTTCTGCGAGGTACTCATCCTAACCTGGACATGGCAAACCTCCGTGTTCAGGCCATGTCGTATTCTCATGCTGTCCTACGTAGCCGTTCCTGTCCTCTCCAGGCATTGCGTGCAATTATAGGACGGGATGGCATAAACGAGCCCATCCCAAACTCACCGCCGCGCATAGCATAGCCCTTACACGCTTCCCTTCAAGCGACTCCAATGCACAGAGCCTGTTTCGTCGTAGACATGGATGGATCGCCTCCTAAGATTGCAGAACCCCGCGGCTAGTGGCACTCAATTTGTTGGGAAATGCCACCCATACGTACACATCACATCCATTTCTCCATCCACCATCCTCAGAGGTCAGCTGCCCGCCTCGTGGGGATGACCATCGTACCAAGCTCTCCGTGATGCTGGCCACCATCTTCAGACACCCTCTGTCGGCCATGACGCCCACCATGACTCTCTTGTCCATGCATTGATCTGGCATAGCTCGGCGGGAGACCGAGCCTCTAGGGTTGCATATGCACACAACGGGAATCCGCTAAAATAATCAAATGACGTTCATGCCTCGCTTCGGCAGCTCAAATGACACAGGGCCGTTGAAACAACCGGTATGTCGTTATCGTTTAGTCAATGTGTGTTTTTGCCGGATTGTAGTCATATGCATCGGACGAAGAATAGTATTCACGTATCGAACTGGTCCTTGCTCTTGCTTGGATTTGCATAGAAGTGATGGGTAGATCGACGTCCATCTTGATGAACAGTGTAATTTCGCCAACAAAAATCCAGTCTTATACCACTTCCCTTAATAACCAATAAGTCTGCTCATGTGATTACATCACTTCACGATATAGTGCCAGCAGATAGCAAAATAGGTATTGTTCTAACAGTAAACTTTCATCTCGAGATTCCAAGGCATAGTTTACACTGAAAAAATAGGGTGACTGTCCATTACTATTTTTTCTTTTTGGTCTCATTTTCCCTTTTCCCGCTTTTCTCTCCACGATTTCTTCTTCTAGCTTTTAGGTAGAACCATATAAAACTCCGGTCGATCGTGTGAAAGCATAAACAAATATCCCGGTACACTCAGGGGTATACTTTAAACAGCGGTGTCGTACTTGTGCTCGTGGGTGGCAATAGCTCTGCGCCATCATGTTAGTTTATCCGGCATGCATACTTTGGTTGTACTCTTCAGTTGTTACTACTAACCTGCCACTGGGGTCAGTCTGCTGAGACCAGGTTGGGGTCCAGCGCTGAACCGTCGAGCCGCAACGGGGAGGGAAGAGCTCATCGAACATCAGGCGGTACCAGTAACTAGATATCTGTTAGTCACGATCAACACGTTCTGCACGGCAAAGGCTCATACCCTTCCTTGGTATCAGGAACATCAGTTCCCCACTCGGCCTTAGGGTTGGCCATCATGGCATCAGAGACATGGAGCTCAGCGTTGTCCTTGAGAGCGTCGATCCAACCGTAACCGACACCGTCCGAGAACTGCTCCTTTTGTCTCCACAGGATGTGCTCGGGGAGGTATGGCTGGCTGTCAGGCTCGTCAGTAGTGTCGAATGCCTTTCGGAGAATGTATTTCTCCATCTTTTCCTTGGTGATCATCTTATCGGCAGGGTCGATATCCATGGCCAGGGAAAGGAACTGTTTTTCAATATTAGTGAGCATGCTGGGTGGCTTCAAACTCCATGGGGATCAAGTCATAGTCACTCACCTCCTTGTCCAAGAATGGGACACGGGCCTCAAGACCCCAGGCAGAAGTAGACTTGTTGGCTCGGAGACAGTCTGCAAAGTGAAGGTTCTTCACACGGCGGACAGTCTCGTCGTGGAAAGCCTCCTTGTCGGGGGCGGCGTGGAAGTAGAGGTATCCACCGAAGATCTCGTCACTACCTTCACCACTTAGCACCATCTTGACTCCCATGGCCTTGATCTTGCGGGACAAGAGGAACATGGGAGTAGATGCACGGATAGTGGTAACATCGTAGGTTTCCAAGTGGTAGATGACATCGGACAGCGCGTTGAGACCGTCCTCGATTGTGAAGGTCATAACGTGATGCTTAGTACCAAGAAACTTGGCCACCTCAAGAGCAGCCTTGTTATCGGGGGAGCCGGGAAGACCGATGGAGAAACTGTGTAATTGGGGGAAGTAAGTCGAGGTTGAGAGACTGCCATCATCATCGATACCAACAAGGCCCTCCCCACGGTCAACGGCATCAGCGTCGGGCTCTTGGTTGAGCTTGTTCTTGTCAGCGGCCTCCTTCTGCAGTCTCAGGTTCTCCCTTTGGGCAATAGCAGCGACCAAGCTAGAATCAAGTCCACCAGACAGAAGAACACCAAAAGGCACCTCGGCCATCAGTCGTTTTCTTACTGACTTCTCCAGGGCAGCTCGGAGGGCCTTCAGGTCGACTGGTGTGGAAGGAACGTTGGTAGGATCCCACCACTTGGGGTTGAAGTAGCGGGTGGTCTCTCCGGTCAAAGAGTCGTAGACGTGGCCAGGAGGGAAGGGAACAATCTTGTCGCACACAGGATGGAGGCACTTCAGCTCAGAAGCAAAGTACACAGCTCCGGGCTCCTTCCAGCTCCATCCCTGGTAGAATGTGGTGACACCGATCGGGTCTCGGGCGGCAATGGTACGGTCCTTGGTCTTGTCATAGAGTATGAACGAGAACATGCCGTCAAGGTGAGCTGGGGCTTCAAGGCCGTGTTCCATATACTACACACATAGCCTGTAAGTTTAAATCCACATCCAAATGACCATCTTATTGAATGTAAGGACGTACCAGCGGGATGATAACCTCACAGTCTGAATGGGTCTTGAAGTGGTACTTGTGGTTGAGGTGTTTGCGGATCAATCGGTGGTTGTAGATCTCTCCGTTGACGGCAAGGACGATGGTCTCATCGGCGTTGGTGAGGGGCTGGGCGCCAGACTCTATATCCTCTTGTTAGACTTGGATGGGCTCGGTGGACAAAATCGAGGCATGCCATCACTTACCGACACCGACGATACTGAGACGCTCATGGCAGAGAACTATCACGAGTCAGTGGGAATCCCTCTGGATTTTGGGTTCGTAGAAATCGGCGTACTGGTGTTGTTGGAAATAACGTTTCCGCCTAGAAATTGTCAGTACATAGTTCTCCAATACCTCCAGCTCGGCAGACAATCGTGTACTCACTCCAATCAGGGCCACGATGGCGAATTCTTTCAAAGACCAAGGTCAGTTTTCCATGCGCACGTGGGGAGTGTCCGACGCGATCGACTTACTGCTTTGCAAGCTTCAGCGCTGTAGGCTTAAACTTGTGCACATCGGGGTGGCTAGAGAGTGAAGGAATTGTCAGTTCTATGATGCTCCTCAATGGATGCTACCGCGAGCCTCAATGGCATGTTCTCGCGGCTCATGGTGGGGTGTCTTTTTTTTCCCCGTTGCCCCTCCATGGTGATCCAACTTGTGCGATTGAGAGAGGGAGGGGCAGGCGCTGGGTCCTTACTTGTGACAACCAAAGATTCCACACATTTTTGCGGTCGGCGATGGTCAAGGAGGCTGCTGAGGTGCAATTCGGACGGGTGACGGGAGGGACAATGCAGACGGGAGAGGAGCAGTCGTGGATCCGACTGCGGCAATGAATGATTTTAAGTAACGCCGTTAAAGTTGTGCCTTCTCAGGCCGATGGAAGGAGTCATCAGCAGGCGCGCCGAAAACCGCACGCCCCCACCATCCCAACCTGCGACTCGGGCTATACTCGATGCAGAATCTACTCACTCTGCTATTGGCGGCTCAACCTAAAACCCTGAGGGCTTATCATGGCATCCCACCCGTCCCATGCATGAAGGCTGCTCCGTCCAGGCAGGGACGTGTGCATGCCCATACAGATTATCACCTTTTCCAATCCGATAGGAGGAGGCCAGCCCGACCCTTTTTCTCAACGGCCAGGCGGTAAGGGACCATCGTCCGTCTCTTGGTTCCATCCTATGACTACAGAGGCCGGCCCGGGCCATGGTATCTTCCAGTATCAAAACAGGTACCTCAGGCAGTCAATTGCAGCTTATCTTGACATCCAGCTACGTAAATGCATTTTATCCATCACCAACACCTCGGTAATACTTGCCACCGTCCTAAGCCGGTACTTTTTTACGTCGTGCCTATGGAACCAATGATAGAGATGGGAGTAATTCGAGGGGCTTCTCTGTACGTAATGAGAAATCGTCCAGTGACATTTCTGGTGGTTTCTATCTTCTTTTTTTTTTAACTAGAAACTAAGCAAGCCAGTAACGCATGGCCGCATCATGCTGTTCCATGCGGCTTGCATTGCATCCCGTCGCCAGACCACCCCCAGAGCCCAAATATGCGGCTCCCCATGCAGGAGGTGCCGGTATGCCAGAACTCATAACCTCCAAGATCGAACGACAAAGCAAACTGGAAGAGGAAAGCGAGTCTCGCAATGAAAGAGAGTCATTGATCATTTCTTATGTTTTTCCCCAGACGCCGCAGACATGGTATAGCTCGTAGTGTCAATCATGGCCGTCGTATCCCAAATTCCGATCCCTTAGTTTCGCCATCTATCGTGCCGTCGAATTTCATGTTCCCTTGCCTTCCCTTGTTGTCGCACCTTTCCCACGCACGATGTGCACTTTTACGGTGCCGGGTTCTCGCGGACCACGCGCTTGATTCTTCTCTCGTATTCGACCCGGTCTCTCTTGAAAAGATTGTACGCCTCCGCCTGGGCAGGCGATTCGGGGTTCGGATCGTTCAGAAGGTCCTGGATACCGAGCAGGATCTGCTTCACTGTGATGGCGGGTTTCCAAGCCTCCTCCTCGTTCAGAATCGATAGGCAGACGGTGCCTGAAGGATAGACGTTGGGGTGGAACAGCGGGGGTGTAAATTTGCCTAAAAGGAACGAGTGTCAGCATCGCTATCGATAGTATGGGGATCTCTTGGATATCGAGGAAGAGTGCGTACACTTGGGAGGCTTCGTTGGGTATTCTGCGAAGAAAACAAGTTAATCTCGTGACCTCAAGTGAAACGCAAGGTGAGGAAATACGAACCATCAGGAAAGGCGACGTTGAGCTTCAGGAGGCAGCCCTCCCAAATGGTCTTCTCTTTGCCCGGAATACCACATTCCCAGTTCTTCAAGTCCAGAACGCCTTCCTTTGTTCGAGTAGGCTTCGCATAGAACCCGAACGGGTGGTCTTTCCGCCACTGCTTCCTGAGTCGACCAGGGTTAGCATCTCAAAAGCGAGTGCGCACGGGATGCGATAAATCTGATGTAGCTCACCTCTCCTCGCCGAGACGGTTCTGGCACAGGGCCATTATAGATAGTTCGTGGTTCTAGTCGCTTTCAAAAAATTCGCTTTGGATGCCCGACGTATTTCCCAGCGGTCGCAAGCGTTTCTCAGGCCCGATGACGGAGCAGATGGTGGAAAGGGCGAGAAGTTCGAGAAAAAGAAGGTGTGCAGGTAGAAAGAGTGCTTCCAGAATGACTTGAGACAGAGAAAAAAGAAAGGTGAGCGCGGCTGGGGGGATTTATAAGCTGGGCGCTTGCTCGCTATTAGGCTGACCGTCACGAACGAGAATGCGACTCACGTTGCGATCAGCTGTTGTTCGCCTGTTGGTGAGTGGGTAGGTGAACTGCATGAGTGCGGAAGTACCTTCCAGGGTCAATAGGCACTACAATGGCGCTTGGCACGCAATCCCAAACAATTGTTAGCTGAGGTCCAACTTCGCAGGTGTGCAAGTTATGCATTTTATGCAGGCTGCATAACTCACACGGTGTGTCGCGGGGGTCAAGACGTGGGGTAATTTGCACAGACACAGTCACACGGAGCGGCATGGACATGGGACTGTCCGATCCCTCGGTTCAACTCAAGCCGCAGACAAGGACAAGCCGACGGACCTATCTCTCTCTGCCCAGCAGCACCTACATGCCTTAATTCTCCCATCTTCCTCTTTCTGTACACTGGTTTCATTCTTCGCCATCGGAGGTCTGGTTCCGACCACGCCACACATTAGATCTACTGGAACGCTGTCCCTCACTAACCTAATATTATCAGCATCAACCTTTAACCACCAACAGTCCTCTTGCAATGCGACAGACCCTCGCATAGCCACCCACGGAGTACTGCAAAAGATTTTCTGGTTAATATACCGTTGTAATCATTTGGGCCAACTCCAAAGCATGTTCATGGGCATTTCAGAGGCACATCAAGCATCATGAGCACAACAGAAGAGATCAAAAAGGAGGGAGCGGGGGCTGGGTCAGAGCATGTGATACCCACGGCGAGCTCAGGGAATGCCGCCCAAAAGACCGAAGAGCCGGAGGTTGAGAGCTTCCCAGATCCAGATGAGGATGATCTGGATGATTTAGATGGTATGGAACATCTGCACCCGTCGTTGCTGCAGGCTCGGGCCACTCACCGTATCGCTAGACATGCTTGATGACTTTTCGTCAGTCAAGATAGACGCAAAACCTGCTGCGGCATCGCCAAATCCACAACCGCCAACAGCAAGTACGGCTCCCAAACCAGAACCTGCCCCGGCTGCTGCCCCGGCGCCTGAGCCAAGTGTCGAGGAAGACCTCTCAGAGGAGGAGTTTGCCAAGCAGCTGCAGGCAGGCATGGCCGACTTACTTGGTCAATTAGACAGTTCTGTCAGCTCATCACCCCTCCCACATGCATCCCCCTCCATCGACTAACTATCAGCAGCCCGACATGCAGGCGCAGTTTGAGGACATGTTCAAGAAAATGAACGAAGCAGCAGAGGATGCAGGGTTGGGCGAGGAGGCTGGTAAATCTGCTGAGGCCAAATCTACTGAGGGCAATACCAAGTCAACCCCGGCCCCCCAGATGAACGATGCATCCTTCCAGGACACCATCCGCCGCACTATGGAGCGGATGCAAAGCTCGGGAGACCAGGCCACCGCTGCTGCTGCTTCGGGTGGTGAGAACGATTTCATGAGTGAAATGCTCAAGCAACTATCTTCTGGCGAGCTTGGTGGAGAAGGCGGCGGCGATGAGGAGTTCTCTAAGATGCTGATGGGCATGATGGAGCAGCTGACGAATAAGGAGATTCTCTACGAACCCATGAAGGAGCTGCACGAAAAATTCCCCGCGTGGCTGGAGAAGAACAGAGCCTCAACGCCAGCAGATGATCTGAAGAGATACGACTTACAACAAAAGCTTGTGAACGAGATTGTAGCCAAGTTCGAAGAACGAACCTACTCAGACTCCAACGCTGCAGACAGAGAATACATTGTGGACAGGATGCAAAAGGTAAGAGTTTGATGGGGAATGCTTTCCCCCCTTCTATTCATTTCTTCTTGTGGCTTACAACGCGCAGATGCAAGAGGCAGGTTCGCCGCCATCAGATCTCGTTGGAAGCATGCCCTCCGCACAGGAGGCTCTAAGCATGCCAGACGACCAGTGCAATCCACAATAATATACAATCGGACATAGTACTTTGATACATATCATTTCCTCCAATGCCCATTGGACTCAATTCCAAACATATTCCCAACCTGAACATCCAAACGCCATATCCGAGTGCCGTTCCCTATTCCCCAAACTCCATTATCAAAAATCAAAGCATGCTCGCTGTGGACGAATAGAATTAGAAGATCATTTCATCATCTTCATCCATAGCATCCCCGTGGTTTATTACTTGGTTGTATTGCTGTTGTCCGTGTTGTTGTTGCTGCAATTGTTCTTCATGTGCAACAAATTCTGCAAATAATTGGTCGTACTCCTCGTCTGACATTTCTGATGAAGCACATTCAGCCTCGGCTTGTTCGTCTTGGTAGGACGCCACCATAGCCTCCAGCTCAGCCTCCTCATCAGCAGCAGAATCAACCATCATGTCGTCGTTTTGGTATGAAGGGCCAGCCTGTTGGTGAAAGGCCACTGCATCGTCGATGTCCGCCTCCGAGATCTCTGGGGCGCCTTCAGCTGACAGCTCCAGTCGAGCGAGGAAGCTTGCTTTCAACAACTATCGAGGGTTAGCTGTTGGATTACACAGGATATGGTGTGATTGTCTGCCTTACCTGTCCTTCTACATCACGTCGCAGCCATGCCTTGTCCTCGGACTTTTGGCGTACGCTCTGCAGGAAGTTCTTGCGTCTCATCTCCTGTGCATCTTCACGGCGCCGTACCACGGGATTTCGGCGGGCCGGTCGCGACGCGTATTTGAACTTTGGCTGTTGGATTGGAGAAGATTGCACCTGGCGTTGTGGTAGGGAATTGGACTCAATCGGCGATAGAGGGGAAGACGCGCGGATTGGTGACGACGAGAGAGGTGACGACACGGCTGGCCGATATGGCCCCCAGTGTTCGCTGGGAATAGGAGTGG